CTCAGTTATCGTTTATATAGAATTGTAATTAGTGTCAAAGTTCTAACGGTCTAAAGCAGCATTTCATTTATAACAGGTATTATACAGCAAGAGTGAATACCGACTAATTTATTGTAAGCACTTACTTATTAGTTTTTATTCATTTTATTTCGATTGATATAGATGAAAAATTTAAATTAAAAGATTCAGAAAATTCAATATTTTTAAATCATATTTTTTTTAAACAAAATATTATTTGATTAGATGCAGGTGTGTGCGTAATATTGTATAAATATTTTGTTATAATTTTTTGTTGTTTTAAAACGTTGAATATTAAGGTTAGGTTAAGAAATTTTATAATTATCAAATTATCATGAACATTCGTGTATATACCTATATCATAGCTTTATTTATCATTTTTTAAATTATAATAATATATAAAATGTTATTACCTATTTAAGATACTGCAGTATTGATAATACATCAAGAACATTTAATATATTTCAACATTATTAAGGTATATTTTATAAAAATGTATATAAAAATACAATTTATTCTTGCAATAAATTTAATTTATTTTATAACAAGTCAAAAAGAGTAAAATATTTTGAAATTTTAGAAGTATAATAATATAACACTTGATATTTTTGTATCTGATTAGAGTGTAAGTGCAATAATATAAACAGTGCTTTTCTCGTGTCCTTTTTACTGCGGTTGAACTCCTGGAAGTATTAGTCGAGTAGGTACTAAAACTAATCAAAAATACATATTAAAAAATATGTCGACAACATGTGTTTATTTATTATTGCGTTGTAATGTAAGTATATGGTAATTTGAGAGAAATTGTATATGTCAGTTTAAGATTGTTCTGAATTTATTATTTAACATACAATCAAACGTTTTATCAAGTATAATAATTACATCAACGTATTATTAGCTTTTAAATATTTTACAAACATAATATTATGTATTGTGGATAAGAACTTACTTTTTGTAATGGTTTTCATTAAATCGTTTCGCCAACTTGGCAAAGGAATTCGACAGTATTTTTGACCGTTGAGTCCACCGTATCCACAACATATCCTTGGCCAGCAGTCTCTATCTGTGTCACAATGTTGCCGAGGGAAAACTGGAGGTAGTTCGAATCCTGGACAAGATTTATTGTCCAGTTGAAAAATATTTGCTGAAATGAACCCACACATGATATAATTTAACATTATTAATAATAATGATGAATTAAAAATTATATGGTTTTAAATTATTAGTTGTCATTATTAAAGACAATCAGTCCATAAAATTATAAACTTGTTTAACTATACATTTTACGAAAAAGTGATACGTATTGGAATTTGTTTCATTTAAAACTTTAAATTAACATGAATTTAAATTCATTTTCAAGTGCTGTCACTGGATAGATGCCCCATACTTTTGAGCTTTTCTTTAAATGTAAATAAGTGAATGCTACACTTATAATTATTACATTACATATTATGTACATTTTATACACATCATGGAATTTTCGAAATAATAGAAACACTCATATCAAAAGTATCTAATTAAAAAACGATTAGTTTTTGAAAACTTGTTTTAAATATGTGTTGAGGTTTAGCAAAAGCGTATTCAATAACCGAATAATAATAAAAATACAATGAATTTTAAATTTTAAACGTCAATTTGTTTTATTGGAAAGAGCTCTTTGGTGCTTATTTGTCGAATATTTTTATAATTTCTTTTACATTTTTTATGATAGAAGCACAAAAGGTTGCATGGATACATTTTCACTTTTCATTCCATACTTAAAAATTGTTTGAAAAATATTTTCGTAGTATTATGTTGTTATAAGCTAATACATCTTTTCTATAATGTACTTAATATAAAAATGAAAATTGAAAAAAATAATATCCTATTAGGTTTTCCAAATGGAGGATGAAAAATACCTATGTTAGAATGTTGTTATTATTATTTCTTATCTGAGTATTTCTGCAAGAATTTTTAAGATGCCTACAGTAATAACGACTCAAATGTGTTAAATATGTTTAAATTTTGTAAGCAATACGCACTAATTAAGTTTAATATGGGCATCAGAATACTTGAGCTGTTCTATTTGATTTAAAAAACTAAAACTAGTAAAACTTATTAGACTGAGTTTATACTTAACGAAAATACTTTGAAATGTGACTGGATGAAAACTATAATATTTATCACTTAATATTGATTATAAGTATTTGAAATTGTTAAGCGAGTACAATGATTCTATTGAATGTAATGATTTTATACACCAAAATTGTCAAAATTTGTTAGTAGGTAGCGAAACGTAGACATTGTTCGATACCAATTTTTAATTTTAGTACATATACATAGTGATCTTGAAGTTATTTAATATTTATTTAAAAATCGTTTAAGCTATTTATATATACTTTATATTTTTAGTATAATAAATATATTTATGAATTTTAAGAATCCTTTTAATAGTTTATAAATAACTTTTGTATTAAGAATAATATACTGAAAATATATAATAACAGATGATTAAAATTGTCTTCTAAGCTTATTTCATGAATTGAATGGTATTAGAATTTACTATAATACTTAGAACATTAGAAAAAGCAATTGTTATAAGTGTAATTTTCAAATATTTATTTTGAAGGTACCTAGTCAAAGGTATCTAATAGCTGTATATAGTTTAAATTATATTAATTGAAAACAGATTTAACCTTTGAACCAACGTTTTTAAGCTTTCAGTAGTTTTCGAAAAAATGCAACAAATTTTTTAAAATCTAGTGAAACTTATGACAAAGTGATATTATAATTCATTGCAAAAAAATATAAATATGAATTWGTCATAAAATAATAATAACTTTATTCTCAATATATATTTTTGTAATTTTTACYGGTTTATTAGTTTTCATAACATTGTTCATGTTAAAATGTGATAGAATTTACTGAAAATTGTATTACATATTGGATTGCTTAAACTTTATACGATTTTAAATAACCTATTTAAAAATAATATAAAATACATTTTATCACTACTGATCAGATATGAAATATTTGAATGAAAATGTTATTATTGTTGGTAATTTAATATAGAAACGTCAAACGTAACTTTAACTATTAACTTTTAAAATACACGATTTAAAAGTATAAAACATGTGATCAATCATGATCAGTGGCATACGTGGCATATCGWTTAGTATTTGGTTTTAGTTGTTGTTAGATTGATCTATCACTATCATTCGACCAGTTATGAAAAATAGAAACAAAAAGTATTTTTATTGTAAGTATTCAATTTACAAGTGATGTACATATGTCAAAATAATAATGTATATGTTAGTAGTTATTAAATTTAATTTTACACGAATAATTTAAATGCTGGACGTTTTTTATTCAGTTGAAAAACGTTATTACATTTTTAAATGTGGAACATTTATTACAGGAGCAGCTTGACATGATATTATTAAAACCAATAACTTTTAATTACTAAATAACTGTACATCAGGAAAATTATTAATTACACCTAAGTCATGTGATATATTCAAAGTGTGCATAATTATGTTTCATAAAAATACTAAATAAAATATAATAAACTAGAAGAAGATYAACAATAAATTTGACATGTAAGCAATACAGGCTTTGCCTTATTCAATTGTAGTTAAGTATAAATTCAGGCTGTATTGTGTAGGCTAGAGCAATATCCGGACCTAGTGATGATAATTTGATACGTAGATCAATAAAACGAAATTTAGTTGGCAAAATATTAATAGGTACCAGTGTACCACTAATAATGACATTGTTGTTTCATTATTTTTGTTAAAGTATTAAATTAATGTTTATAATAATGTTATCTTTTATATAAGTTGAAAATATACACAGAGATTTTTTATGTGATTTTTGAAGTTTCTCAATAATAATGAATCTCTGGAAAAATACATCCATAAATAGATAAGAAATAATAGAATTATTGTAAAAACAATAGTCTCATGCTTTTTTTTAAATTTCATTAAACATAATCTAAAACTATCAAACTAATCACAGAAACATAACACAGGATGTAAATAGATTTTTTATTAATTTATGATGAGAGTATGATAAAAAAAAAGTTATTCTGATTTATTAGTATTTATAAATTAATTTTAATCAAATAATTAAATAATAAAGCCTGGTGAATTTTGTTAAATATTTAGTTATTATAGACCAAAGAGTAACTAGTTAACAATTAATTATAATCTATCGTTTATTGAGTAAAAACGTGTGTTTACAAATTATATTTTGTATATGTAAAGGAAAACGAACAAATTCAAATTTACGGATTTCTTATTTAATTATGCTTATTATTTAAATTAAATACTTAATTAAATTTAAACAAAATATGAACAAATGTTATGTTAACTTTACCATTGAGAAAACCTATTTAATAAAGAAAATCGAAATCCCATTATATCTTATGCTTTTAGTTGAAATGAATTCTTATGAAAATGTACTTTATATAGATGTGTCAATATTTTAAAAGTTTTTTTTTTAAATATTTAAAAGTTTTGTATTTCGAAGAAATGAAATGCTAGTACAATGTATGGACACAAATATTTACCATTAGTTTGAACCATTATATTGCAACATKTACCTACTATCAGTAACATTTAACACAATCATAATATTATTGGGTAGGTTTTTTGAATTCCACAACCAAGACGAAAAATAGTCCATATAAATTCTTATAAGTCGAATTCCAAAACATTTTCTATATTCACACACAAAGGATATCGAAAATAAAATACAACGAATAGTATAAAAAAATATGCACCTAAAAGAAAAAAAGGTTTGCAGTAGTGAAGAAGTGAGGTAGCAGATTTCAGGGTTTTTCCCTATACTGAAAACTACGTACCATTAAACTCAAGAAGATGGATATATCGGTGGAAATATTGTCGATAAAAAAAATTGCATGGAATAGGTGAAATACTCAAGATAAGGTTGACACGATGGGTAGAGGBGGGGATCGTTTAGCCACGATAGATCAAAAGATAACGGCAGCCGTTACAACAAAAAAATTGCTAAAATCCTCGCGAATGTCGTAAATTCCGCGGACTTGTGAAATCTAACTATGCGTATAATTTTATGTTGATAAACATAAAAAATTTCTGAGTTCATAGAATATTAATTATGAAGTCTGTTGTGAATTAGTTAAAATAGTTTAAAATAGTTAAAATAGTTAAAAAAGTGTCAAATAAAATAAATAAAATAAATTTTAAAATAGTTCGGGCTAAATGCCTTCACCATAAATTTTGTAAACAAAAAGAAACAAGTTCGAAATCAAATATTACGTTGTAGGTTTATTGCTTCCAAAAAATGGATTAGAACACAGAAAATATTCATTGTAATATTATCTACAGTACCTATATAATAATGCTGTTGACTTTTATTTTGATACATTCATAATACATAAATAATAATGTTAAATGTGGAAAATAGTCAGTAATATTTTAGTCAAAAAACTAATATAAATCACCATAATACATTAAATAAAAAAATAAAAAAAAAAATAATTTACGATACAATTAATCAATGTAATTAAGGATTAATAGTATAACAGTACAATTTTATGGTTGACGATCAGCAATGTTATAGTACTGATTCCATTGATTTTATATTTTCAAAATATTTTGAATCAAATTAATTTTATTAGTCAAAGTTTTATCCACTGTAGAGAACTTCTTAATTTTTAATTTAAAAATACTCATGGTCAAATGTTTACTCTCCATCGTAGAGTATTATAATTGAAATGATAACATGTGGATTGCGGAAGGTTAAAAATAAATAAATWATATTTTAAGTAAAAAATTTTTGAATTGATTCTGCGTAAAGTCTGTAAAAAAAAAATAGAAATCTGGAAAAAATTTTCCTGTTTGAGTGCGTGAAACAGAAAATACGTCATTGAGAATTCATTATTTTAATAGTTGTTTTGTACCTTTGTAAGTTGACTGAGATCAACATAGGCACATCGTTTCTTTAAAATGTTTTTAAACTAATGGGTTTACCCGGAAAATGTCATGGATTTTCAAATCTTCTTAGAAAACTACAGGGAACATAAGAAAGTGGTTTTTGGCGGACGGTTTTTTAAGAACATTATTATTCACTGTGATGGCAGACGCGGGGTAGCTTACGTACGTTTCTTGGTGGTTGTCCAACTCGTCGATGGGACACCGCCTTGTCCATCTGGTTCACATCTACCTCCATCACAACTGAGATCTACGTCATCCAGACTGTTGATCGATACATCATCATCTGTAATACGCAAAACACGAACTATAATAATGAAAAAAAATGTAACAATGGTAAAATTCAAATAAAAGAYTTTATCAATGCCTGAGAATTTTGAGTGGAAATTGATCATTTTTAAATGTAGTTGGCCTCTTGCTAGAATTCCTGAGGAAGATTAATGATTTTATTGACTTATATGTGTATGTTTTAAGAGAACGCCACACCCGCATGTGCTGTTAATATCTTACAACACTATTATTATCTTAYTTAGCAGTTATCGGGGCCAGATTTAGGTATGGACTGAACATATTGTGGGAACCCCAAAAAATAAACAACACAACACTTTTTTAGTTTATTGGTATACAGGTAAACTAGTTATTTAGTTTTAATTGACCTACAAGATAAAAGTATAATCACATAAATCGTGAAAAGCTGGACCGAATTAGTAAATTTTTTTTTAAAATGTTAATAATATACTTTAAAATAAAGTTTTTAGGGAAAGAAAAATTGAAAAATTTGGGAAAACTGAAGTTTTTTTGAAGTTTTTGTTATTGGTTGCATAATATTATATTATAGTATATAGTCATGTTAAAACATATGTAAAAATCAGTATATTTTCTTTATATAAACAATGACCACAAGTTACATAATAATTCTTATAATTTTGTTATTAGGTCACTATATGTTTAACCCTCAATGGTTTATCTGAAATCATTAGACTAAAAAAACCTATTGGATCATTTTAAATACAAATTTATACCAATAGATTCCTTGATATTTGTAGGAAGCTCATAGCTTATTATATCGGGTAAGGCTGAATCGCACTTATCTTAGTCCAATAATTGCACTTGGKTTAAAAAATGTAATGAATGAACTGTAGTCGGGTAAAAATAGGTTGTGTTTAAACTGCACTCAAGTTCAAATAGCTTCAACTTATTTCCTTTCCCMCTTACAGATTCTGGACTAACAATGATTTTAATCATTGGCGTGGTTAAAAATTAGTTTCTGCATATATAATAATATTATTATGTGAATATAATAAACATATTGWGAGGTAAATGTATATTTWAAAAAAAAATTATTAAATAGTATATTATTATACTTTTAATATACATTATATTACATAAACTATTTGCTTCATAGGCKAATCTAGGAATTCATAGCAGGGTGTGCCTTCACCTCAAAAAGACCCTCTGTAGTTCAAAATACCTCTYGGTTATCACACGTTTAAAATATGTCTCCAATTTGAAATAAAATTAATAATATTAAATAATATTATTAAGTTTAATTTTTATTACCTAGTTTAGATGCTATTTTTCATGCTGTAAAATACACATGTAATGTTTCAAAATTATTCAATTTATTAAACCATHACTATTGCAAAGTTCAATATAATATTTTATTCAATTATTTTTTTTGGACATACTTACAACCAACAATTAAATTGTTAATCAATTATGTTTAAAATTGTTGGAAGTTTAATATAACATCTTATTTTTATTATTATTAATAACAAACAATTGTATGAAATATATAATATAACTGGTATCTAGAAATAGGTGACATGATATATTATACTTAATACTTCTAATACTTCTATGTTAAATGTTAATACGAAATACGAAATAAAATATTTTTCATTTTGTCAATAACTATAAAAATGATAATTACTGGTAAAATTAAATTACATAAAATAACTATGATTATGGCTATAAGCCTATAAATTACGACTATAGCCGTGCTATAAATAAACAGGCATGTTTTCTCTTTTCTTGAAAATATTGCTGATCWTTTATCAACTATKYTTATCACTATAATATTTATTGACAATATTTGTACCCATAAAAATGTATTAAAATTAGAACACAAATTGTTTAATTTTTAGACTCATTACTCAATACCATTGTAACTGAGTATAAGGGCCCTACACAGGTTTATAAGAGTCGCAGGGTGTGTCCTGGCACACCCTGTAGATTCGTCTATGAAAGAGCATAAAAATAATAATAAGTATCTATATCAATAATTGCATTTTAAGCGGAATGAAAGTTAGCGTTTTATCAAAATTTAAATTAACTTTATTTTTTGAACTTTTTTGTTCAACAACCTTTTTTCAACAATGCCGTTCAACCGTGTACGCGATTATCAATTTTCAGAAAATATGCAATTATTTATTAGCAATTAGAATTTTTAGGTCGTTATAATTTTTACAGGTGTGGTGCTGGACATGTTTTTCATCTGAATACCACGTAACGTTGGACCTAAACTCAGTGTCTATAAAAAATGTTTAAAGGAATGTTTAAAGGAGAAACATTTCGTGAATAATTAAGGTTATAGCTGAAACATTGATGACTAATAACAAAAAAAAAGATAAATATACAGCAGATAAGAATTAATTATAGAAAAAATGACGAGGAATTCAGAATAAAAAAAAATACHCAAAATAATTATACGAATAATTCGATGAGGAGTAACCATCGGCCACTATTACTGCAGTTAATGAAATATAATTTACTCGTAGGTACGAATATAAAATTGTATTTCTACATAATTAAATTAAATTAAATTAATGAAATACAATGAAATTATAGAATATATTGTACAATGACCAGAAATGTGGCTAATATGTCATTATTAGGGCGGAAATATAAACATCAACAAAAAATTCGATTTACTGAACTATATTGATATTACAAAGTTTAATAAATTAAAAAGKTACTAAAAATAAATAAATGAATATATTATGAAATTTAGATACTTATTTAAATGCACATTGAACATTATATTTGTTGTGTTTTATCATAGCGATAACAAGGCAGGTGCTTTGTGATATTTTAAAATAAAAAACTTTGATGATTATCGACAAGTGTTAATATTTACTATCTTGAAAAATTTTGTTTCGCGTCTGATAAGTCATAGGAACTAATATAATACGTAATAAAAATAGAAATATTAGTAAAATAAACTGAATTATATTTAACTTATTTTTCAAAGGAATTTGAGCTAAGTTTTTATTACATTTTATTTGTTCTTATGAAATTTACTAAAAATAATACCATTAAATCATAAAAATACCATGGAATGCCAAAAAATTCTATACAGATCAAAATGTTAAAATGAATGTAAAGTAAAAGATTTATTTTTATTCTGTGATGTATGAAACGAATTTTGTTTTTGTGCTTAGAAAGTTATGTTCTAAAGCATTAAAAAAAAAAGGAGATTTGCATTTAATCTACGTCATCTCTAGTCATTATTTTTGTTTAAAAATATTACATTTACCATTGTCTATGTCTTTATCACTTCGATATGAATTTATGATGCATCTAAACTAAAAATATATATCGTGTTTAATTACCAAATTAGTGATTATTTTTATTTGATAGTTAATATGTTGAAATTCAAAATTTAAATTGCATAATTAATTAATTTAATTAAGAATATTTAAAAATCAAAGTAATCCCAGGCTACATACGAGTTCTTCTCGGTGAGGTCCAGTAAAGGTCAGTTGATATAAAATTTGATAAAATCATGAAAATGAAATGAAATAATATTGACGTAAAATACTATGCAAAATACTTTGCGTAATGAAAAAAAAATGTAACCCTCTAAAATACGCGTACTGTCCGATAATAAACGATATTATGTACTCGATACAGTCACGTACTACATGGTGATCATTTTTTTTTTTTTTTTTTAATAATTAGAGGTGCTCAACGGTATCCAAGTTTTCCCGTAACGTGACCAACCGATCTCTACGTATTTTTTCACCACGGAGGCGATGTCATAAAAATAAATAAAAAAATATTTTGTACCGTACCGTTTTTTGGTCGTATTTCACTTCCGTTTTTCGGACCAACCACGGCCCGGACGGTCGGCAGCAAGAGCAGAATGGATAAGACGAACTGGTGGCGCATAGTGTCTGAGTATTCGGATGTCACTGCCGGTATTCACACACTCACACGCATGACTCGTTGGCCCTCAGCGGTTACCTTTCCCACCACCCGATCRCAACAACAACAACAATTATAATATAGTAATAATGATTATTATTATTATAATATGTTATCGTCTACAGTCGTCAATAAACGCGACGTTAGAATGATGTACTACAGGGTGATCGGTTTTTTTTTTAATTCAGCGGCGTCCATTTCGGAAAACCTAAAGAATTTCAAGGCCTTGTTATAACATGTTTTACATTTTTCATTTATTTTACTGTGTTTTAAAATTATTTATAAATGAGAAACATACACGTATTTTAATTAGTTTTTCGAAGTATTGTAATATATTGTTCTGAAAGTTTTGATGTATAATATAAATCGAATATCGATTACAGGTGGTGTAAGCGTTTACATTTTAGACGAGTGAAGCAAAGTACTGCGGGGTAAAATGTTAATGTTGTTAATGATTCATTCTACTTCACTCATTATCTAAAAATGTAAACTCTTTTAATTAGTGATTTGGAATTCGAACTTTATAATTATTTATCTTCAGAAAAATAGTTTGATTGGAAATGCGTCCGTTTTTTTACACAATATTTTGGTTTGAAATAATATAAAAAACTTCCAAAAATCTTTTTCAAAAACACATATTACAATTACCTAGGAAAGGACCATAGCTGTTTTCTATTAAAAAAAATCACCTTGTATATACATTGTGAGTATACATAACGACGTCATGCATTATTTGTAACGCACTTTATTTGTCGAATATCCATGGTAATTACCTGCGGTGGCGGAGGGGGGCGATCAGGGTTAGACATAACTGCGGCTGAAGTTGTGTCTCTACCGGGCCATACCAGCCGTGGGTCGTGGTCATCAAGAGACTTATTCAAGGAAAAACGGTAATTTATACTATTACAGCTGCAGCAGGTAGTTGAAAATATGATTTGTGGTCTATGTAGAAYTGTACCTGCAGATATTCCAATGAATATGATATTTAAATTTGTGATTTTCATCATAGGATTGATAATCTTCGATASCTTATTACATAAATATTATATATTTATTTATAATATTATTTTATTTTATTCCAACATTATATACTTATAAAAATGAGTTGTAGTATCCACTAAATATTGTGTTCTTAATAAATAAAAACACAGATTATAAATTTAGATATGTAATTAGTTTAACTTTTTTTAGGTAAGTATAGTATAAAATATGATATACTTTTTAATAGATAATATTTTGTTTTAAATACAGTTGAAAAAACTCGTATCATYGAAATTGAAATTTAATAATTTAATGTTCAATATGTGAATACAATTTAAAAACGCGGACAAGTGGTACCTTCTGTATTGTAGCTATCGATGCCATTATAATGGATATTATATTTGTTTTATTGATAAATCATTGCATACAATAAGACATTCTGAATGAACAGTTGTTGTCATCCTAGCATACTTGTATAACTTATATAGATAATTAGTTAATATATATAAAAAAAAAATAACTAACAAATATTGAAGATATTATATCAAGGCTATAAATAGCGTAAATTGTCGTTTTCGGTAAACCTTTCTTGCGATGGTGGGAGAAAATTTTGTTGAAAATCTTCTATTAAAATTTCCAATGTAAGATATGAAAAGAAAATTTTTTATGTTTGTATTGTTAGGTGTAAATTTCTAACTGAAGAATAATTTACGAAATTAGAAAAAATTTTCATGGCTATATATTTTATTACACATAAAAATGCTAATTTAAATATTTGATGAAAATATATCAAGTGTTTATAGTTATTAYATAAATATTAAATTTTGAAATTTGATATTTTTACCTTTAAAAATTAGGCACTAACTAGATTCACAAAAATGATTTTTTTGCAATATTGATAAATTTATTTTTGTATACATATTGATRTTTTTGTTATTTAAAWTTGGTACACATAATTTTCTAARGAGATAGAAAATCTGCCATTTTTTTGAAATTTATTGTCTATTACTAGAAGCTTTTAACAAAACTGTCTAAAATATGAAGTGCAAAAAATATCRTGAACTTCTGATCGTTGCTAGGCGTAACTTAGAAGTTGACATATATTACCTACTCTCAGATTGAGCTTCACGAAGATTCAACATCAAAAGGTTATACTTTATCTAATCTGTCATATACACTCGAGTTAGTGAATCATWATAAGTGGTTGGTACAGGGTAATGACTTCAACAAATCTAAAGATAAATTGGACGTCCTGAAATTAATTAACCAAAATGTACATACAGTGCTAAATGATGATAATAAATAACAAAAATCGAGATATCAAAGTTATATTTTCAAGGTGTGTACGCAAATTAATTGAACTTAATTTGTTACAAAGTAATATTTTTTGCAATTATTATTATTTCCATAACAATGACCTTAAATATTAAACATTTTACACAGCCAGCMACATTTKAATTGCCCCCAAAGAGGTGCATAAGAAAATGTGTCGAGGAGGAAATGCATAAATACATAATTGTATGACTATTGTGTTGGAAGAAGCCACTAGTTGTTAATAATATATACTGATTAAAAATCAAATTAATTGAATAAATGGTTTGTTTTTTATTGCTCAAATAATTAGGTATATTACATGAACACGAACTTACTGTCAAAAAAAAAAATGTTAATTTGGAAATCTCTTTGTCGAATTCTCTACCACTTCATAAACATCGCTGAACTGATATAAGTAGGCAATTGCCATTTTTAATTGCATTTTAGTTGCAAATAAAACAAGCAAATTTATATGGTCTCTTTAATTTATTTATTTTATTCCACACCTATACTGTATGAGTTAACCACTAAGCTACATATCATACAGATACCGCGGAATTATATGGGATCATTGGTCAAATTTCGTGGATTTAGTTTGTAATTTTTACGTGTGGCAGTGGCAGAGAGTTAAATGGAATTAGGGACAATACACACAATATATACAACATTACACAGAGCTTATATTTTATAAGAAACGTATCCTGTTTGTTTCAAACATCTCGCTCTCATAAATCCACCCCACCACATCATTATGAACCCCTATGACGGATAATAATCTAATTCGCCATATTATGTATAGGATGGGCTTTCAGACTTTCGACACGCCAAACGTAGTAAATAGCGAACAAAATAATATAGTTCAAAAATGACTATTGTAGGTGTAAGGGTTATTTTAATCGTTAATTTRGACAACAATAACGGTAATGAAAAAATACATTTTTTAATCGTTACATAATATAATTTCAAATCGTCGGAACAATAGTGTGCTATTTTTCACCTATGTATACTGTATTTRAATTAGAAGTATTCATGGTGAATAAAATCATAGGACCCAATCATTTGGTAATATAATCTCGTTTATACTTCGTAAATAGTTACAAAAGATGTTTTTTATTTCAACCAATATAAACACCGATTTTTCTATCRTATAAATGCAAATAAGCGCAATTTGGAGCTTGGGAGGGGGCTCGATAAGTACCGAAAGTTTTGAATTTAGCACGTTTATAATRTTTAGTAATATYGTTTGTGGACTAGTTAAAAAAAAAAAAGTGACACATCCATAGAACCTCCGTTTCCCATCATTATAATTGTTYCACTCCGAATTCGTGTGTACATCATAAATCGAGACTTATGTCTCCCACACAGCATTTGCAAATATTTTGAAGTTATTGAATGATAAATATTTGATTAACAATATTGTATAAATATTTTCTTCTCATGGTAACCAAATATTATGCTATATGATTGCAAAGAAATGTTGATTAAATATTTTTTAAAAGTTTCTATAGAAGTCTATATGACAATATATTTTTTTTAAATATGTGGTTAAAATGTTTTTGAAATGTTTTTTATAAAATATTTTCCAAAAATGAACTTCTTGTCCAAAAAATATAACTAAATTATTTTCTAATTCTTCAAGCAACTTTTAAAATTATTTTAAYAACTATTATTTTCCTGTATATATTTTTACAATAGTTAGGAAATACTTTAATGTTGTGTGGGAGCTATCTCTTATAACAGCGTAACAGTATAGTGTTGGTATTAATTACACAAATGCATATTAATTAGAACTGAACTACTGTAGTTTATTTGATTCGCTATGAGATATCGTTAACAGAAAACTGGGATCTTAAAATCTCAGGACAGTTTGCTGTTTACCATGGTCTTAAAATTTCAAGTAATGACTTGAAAGTCGAAATCATTACCAACGACTGTACCCGCAATTTYCTTCTCTTGTCGGCCGATACACTAGTATGATTTGGCCCAGTAAAATACACGACTATCCGGTATCGAGGTCAATGTTGGTTCGCTGTACATAGTGWGTATATCTAATCCACTCAATAGATGTGTACAATAACACTATGTTCGTGACATTTTAGTTGTTGTGCGAATTTACAGCGCGTTTYACGGGTGTGGCGATAATATGTAGTATTTGAAATATATATTCTAATTTCGTTCTTGTACTGAACATGCAACGAGTGTGAGGGATAGCGTTATTTTTACTCTGTCGTTATTTTAAAATTGCTCCCAGGCCCACGGTCGCAAAGTTTTTGAGTTTTCTGGTGAATGTAGTCGCATAGAAAAAAAAATGAAATGTAATTTACKTCCCATTTAATAATTAATTTTGAGGGTTTGTATTATTTTTGAGATTATATTTTGTGCCACGTAAATCTGGAAAAAAAGACATGTGATCTACACAATATTGTACCCAACAAAAATTGTGATATACCTACGTCATTTTAACTTTATCAAAGTATTGTAATAGGCCAATTTAAAATAATTAATAAACCATTTTTAAACTTATTCATAGGTAAGCATATTATGTATTTTAATGTATTGGATTTTTTTACCAATCAATTTAATTTTAGTGGCTTGGTGTCAATCACGCAACATGATTGAAACTTGAAAGTATATGCACCACTTGCTGCCACTAGTTCTCGGATGGACGACCACTAGGTGCCACACATACACGT